TTCATCAGGGTTGGCTGTTGGAGGGAACACAACCAGAAGAAATTTTGAATTTATTAACTCTATCCTGATTTATTAATTTCAGGGCAAGGAATCCCAAATTATCTTGTTTGTAGAATGCAGCAAAAACAGAGAAATAATAAACTTTTGTCCACCAAATTTCATAGATGTGAAATTGACTGCATTCCTCTTCCATTAACTATACTTAAAATATAGTGGTAAAATGATGCTGTTCTCTTTTATACAAATTAAGGTAATGAGGTATTCATATAAAGGGCTTGCTTAGATTTACCTCCCTAATATTGTTCTTTACGTGGAATTCTGTTCCAGCTTCAGCCATGAAAAATAATGTTCTTTTGAGCTTTGTCTTGTAGTTGTTGAAACAGTTGTAAGACTATAAACACTGTGAAAAAATATGATGCATGACAAAGTGCAAGAATGGGAAAATTTCATTGTCACATTAATTATCTATTGACAGAAGATATACAGTAGGTGATGCAATGGCTTTGGATGTTCTTGTCTTTATTACCTCTTGGGGGAAAAGTTCAGATCATGAAATGAGTTTGGTGCTCTTGAGTGGACATTTGTCCTCATCACAAAACAACCTCATAATTCAGCACGATGTAACAAAATTGGAGAGCTCGAATTGAGGAGGCTTAGAACCAGGAGCATCAGGGAGTAATAAATCAGGCTAGAGGTGCAGGGCAATGCTGCTTGGGGTGACTTTCACAGCATCTGTGAGACAATGCCATTCCCATTACAAATCATTTTGCCAGGCAGACATCCTAAGGAGGAGCACATACTTGAAGGGACAGGTCAAGTTAAAAAGTGAGCTTAAATTGAGGCTGATCAGAAGTGTTATGAGGCACCGCTCTGTCCAAATGCCATTCAATTGTCTGAGAACAGAGATTTTAATACTGGCTGTAAGAGACATTCTGTAATTTCACTTTTCCTCTACTAATTTTTAGGGATTTTCTAGAGACACAGACAAGAAGCAGTGTGCATGATACACACTCATATAAATAAGACATCCTAGGGGGATGTCTAAATATATCTGCTGTCGTAAGTATATTTAAATGAATGATGTTAATATAGTTGTCTATGCTAGACAGTTATGTTGCTAGTTTTAATTGCTAGTACAAATTCAGGCAAGTACTTAGAATCATAGAATCATAGAATATCCTGAGTTGGAAGGGACCCTTAAGGATCATCAAGTCCAACTCTTGACACCGCACAGGTCTACCCAAGTTCAGACCATGTGACTAAGTGCACAGTCCAATCTCTTCTTAAATTCAGTCAGGCTCGGTGCAGTGACCACTTCCCTGGGGAGCCTGTTCCAGTGTGCAACCACTCTCTCTGTGAAGAACCCCTTCCTGATGTCCAGCCTAAACTTCCCCTGCCTCAGCTTAACCCCGTTCCCGTGGGTCCTGTCACTGGTGTTAATGGAGAAAAGGTCTCCTGCCTCTCGACACCCCCTTACGAGGAAGTTGTAGACTGCGATGAGGTCTCCCCTTAGCCTCCTCTTCTCCAGGCTGAACAGGCCCAGTGCCCTCAGCCGTTCCTCGTACGTCTTCCCCTCCAGGCCTTTCACCATCTTCGTAGCCCTCCTCTGGACACTCTCCAACAGTTTCATGTCCTTTTTATACTGTGGTGCCCAGAACTGCACACAGTACTCGAGGTGAGGCCGCACCAGCGCAGAGTAGAGCGGGACAATCACCTCCCTTGACCTACTAGCGATGCCGTGCTTGATGCACCCCAGGACACAGTTGGCCCTCCTGGCTGCCAGGGCACACTGCCGGCTCATATTCAACTTGTTGTCTACCACGACCCCCAGATCCCTCTCTTCTAGGCTGCTCTCCAGCGTCTCATCGCCCAGTCTGTACTTGTGTACTCCTAGAGTTAACTGTAAACATTGTCTGATTTACAGGAACTGAATTGCTAGTTTTCAGTGTAATTTTTAACAGTTGATGTCATCATCTCAGTATCTCCATCTCAGATGGCTGCAGCAGGTGTCTTTGCTGTCACTACAGAGACAAGAAGGCCCAATGACAGCTATTTTGCTTCTCACAGATATCACAGTCTGGCCCACAGAGAGCGTTACATTCAATCTAGAAGACATTGATACTGCTGTAGAATGTAAATTATCACTATAAGAAACTAAACTCTGCTGATGGCCATTGTTTACTTGTTTTCCTGTCATCTGCCACAATACAGGTGGGGATCAAATGTCTAAGAAAGGATCAGGCTAAAAGACAGACAGAAACATGAATTATATAGTGGACAGAAAGGAGGAGAATTCCCTCTATTCATTCTAGCCATATGTTCATACAATTCAGCCTTAAAATATTCTTCCTTTTTTGTTTGTTTGTTTGTTTGTCTGTTTGTAAAGGCATCAGCTTGTTAATATTGCACATGATCTGACTATGTGAGGGAACACAGAATGTTCCTGTGTTTAAGTCCTAAGGCCTATATGCAGATATAGTCCTAAGGCCTATATGCAGAACATGTGAAAGAAGAAAATTTAAGCACTGAAAAATTCCATCTTGACTTATAGCCTTCCCCAGAGGTAATTACTTCACAACTAGATTCAACTTGTGATCTGCCAAAATTGAGAAGAATTATAATTAAATGCCATATATTATATATATGTGTGAGATGCTATAGATACATTTGCAAAGTTTTATTATTTAATTTAATTTTATTTGATTGTATTTATTAGCTGGCTTTAATTATAAAGGAAGTAAACTGAATTATGGTCCAACTGCAACACAGTCTGTCAGTGGACTAAGTTATAGCTGCCACCTTCATGAGGCTGTAGGCAACACAACAAAATAAAATGATCAGTTTCCTTCTTCAGATTTTCCAGACGTCGTTAGATGAGCGACTAGTCAGAGATAGAAAAGTCTTAGACACAGAGCTGCTGTTTTTTAACTCTGTCAGCAAGGCTTGACAGCTAGATACAGCCTTCTGTGATGGAATCATAATGATTAATTAGGTAAAGCAGCTGCACCCAACCTCTTGTGCAGTTATGACTTATGTTAGCCTCACTGACTAAAACCTCCATCAGCTCTGCTCAATTAACTGAGGTTAAGTATTATAGATTATTGAGGAATTGAGTGATAGTAAATCAGAATGACATTCCTATTTTAAAAATAAAGGATGGTCAGGTGTTTCAGAGACAAGATTCAACACCAAGCATTTACAACACTATTCTGCCATAATTAGAAGGTAGACTGATCATTAACAAAGGGGTTCATCATATCTGCTTTTAGCTATCAAAAAGTTAGGCCTAGACACAATTTACAATTTATGGAGAAACATAAAAGAGCTGGAAAGAGGCAGCCATTTTAGGCAGTGATTTGTCAAATGCTAACTATCCAAGTTAGATGGGACAAATCACCCTAGGAACCTCTCTGCTTATTAACTAAGGGACTCAATAACTGGGTGTCATACTCAGCTTCCATATGGCCAAACTGAAGTGAGATAAATCCAGGCCTTTCTGCCAAATAGATACTCAGATGCCTGAAGTTGCATGAGGAAAATGTAACAGAAGATCCTCAGAGGGACTCATTCTTTTTGAAGTTACTAACTTATTACCAGATATCTTTTAAAATCTGGCATGTATAGGTTAGGTATGGGGATACTGAGAATGTGGAGATTTCATGGGCTTGGTACACATAAATACATGTATGACTATGTAAACTGTGTCTGTTCTAGCAATTAGAAAATACAAAAGGAGGTTCCCAATCAAATCTGTACTGTTACATTCTTAAAATTATTCTTACTATGGCTTTAGATCACATCAGGTAGCACTTGCTAACCAGTTGCTGAGTAAGATGCACAACCCAGCATGCTTCAGGGACCATTTCCAACAGCAGTGCATGTATGGTAACCCTGTCATAAAGGCTGACAGTTTAATAATATGGAAAGATACCGTTCCATGACAGATTACCTTAATGTCAGATAATGGGTATGTTTAATTTGCATATTAATTTGAGGCTTAATCTTAAACTGTATCTATGCCCTTTTGCAACTTTTTTGATATTTCCAGCTGACTAGAAACAGGCTAGCCCTAAAACTACAACTCAAAGCCAGTATTGATATAGTAAGTCCCTCAGTAGTGTGGGTGAAATAATAACCAATACTAAATGTTTTTCAATTGACTCAAAGCTTAGGCATCTGCCTGAAAAGGACCAATGAACATCCCTGAAGGTTTCTCAGGATAGTAATTTCTATGGTCTCTTACATGTGGAACAACTGCTTCATTCCCCTCCGTGCAGTGTGCAGTATTGAAACAGTCACAGATGTTCCTCTTGTTATTTATAGTCTCAAAGCCACCATCTGTTCAGTGTAGCCTCCTGTTGTCTCTCCACCAATACTTAGCTCATAAACTCTTTGGGCAAGCACATCTCTGTCTTTAGGAGCTTTACGTAAAATGTCTATGTCAATACAGGTAAAATAATAGTAGTAATTATAGTGGAGTAAATGCAGACTTCAGTTGTTGGAGGCAGGGATCAGGATATACACCTAAATGCTTATATGTGCTTATGTTTCTCTAAAATAATCTTTCCAAAGATCATCTATATAGCCACATATTATCTAACTATACACATTGAAGTGATACCTTTGATGGAAAATTTCTGACAAATCAAAATAAATCACTGTTTTTTCTTGAATGGAAGAGAAAGTAGAGAATCAGATTTTAATGAACTGAAATTTTTCATAAAACCATAACCCTTTCATACTTAACTGAGCAAAACAAATCAACTCCTTCCCCTCCTCTGTCCCCTCCCACTTGCCGCCCCCCCCCCCCCCCCAGTGCAGTTCCTCTAAAATATATTTAATTTGTCCAAACTCTGAAAAATAGTCAAAGAAGAAAAGAGAAAAAAATGAACATTTACTAAGGAACACACTTTGTTTGTTTGTTTGTTTGTTTTTCCCCCTAAAAATATATTAAATAGAATAGACACAAATGACACTGACTACAAGCATAGTTTCATGGAATTCATGATCTTTATTTTTTGACAAAATGTATGCATGACTTACTTGTAAAATTTATAAATAAAGTAAATATTAAAAGAAGTTTGAAAAAAAAAAAAAAGTAAATGAGACAATATTCTACTTCATGCTAGCTTTAAAAAGGAATATTTAAAAGACCTGTCCAGCTGATCAATAAAATGATTCACTTGGATGGTCATGGACAGTGAAAGACAGTGACCGTCCTGATGCAATTCTGTAGTATGTCAAGGGCTGAATGCTACATTGCAGACACTATGGTGGGACAGAGTTGCACTGCTCTGGGAAGTGTTTTTTGTGCATTCCTTGGTGGGCTGCATGAGTGTGGCCAATCTGTAGGACAATGTACCTCTGCTAGCCAGTTCTGATGAGTAAGTAGAAGAGATGGAGCTATAACCCTACAACCTTCTGGACGGCTAGTGTGGGACTTGTGATATGATTGCCAACCCTTCCTGCTAAATGGAAAGAACATGGTCAGGATAGGGATCTACAGGGTTAAAATTGTGAGCCCCCAGTGTTTCCCCTGGTCCCAGCTCACACACACAGACACACAGACTGAGCACAGTCTAACCCTAAACCTACGTGTGAATGCAAAGCTGAAGGTCAAATCCTACAGTCCTTAAACAGTCAAAATGTCCATTGAAATGAAAATTAATCATTCCCAGGATGAAGAAACGACCCATGCATGGACAGAGAGGAGGTAATACGTGCATCCCTTACTCTAGAAATGATAGAAGCTGTTCTGTCCTGGATGCTGGCTCAATTCCTAGCCTTTGAAGACCAGCCAGGGACCACAGGGAAAAAGCAAAGTATTTTCTCCACTCAGATATGGAGAGAGGGGATGAGTGCTAAGTGACTTGATATATAATACAGAGGAGCCACAGGGCAACCATGAATTGGGCCTTCAAGGAGCTACTTCTGCATGAGGGAAGGGAAGAAACTCCAGGACCTTGTCTGGAAGATGCTGTGTCAATGCTGCCTTTTCAAACTGTTACAGGTTATTGTGGTCAGCTCCTGAGGGGTGGCTCATGAGGAACTGCCATCAAGTTGTACTTTCTTTTTTTTTCTTCAGGGATCCTTTCAGCTTCCGCCACAGACTATCCTTCCTCTTCATCTTCTTCTCTGCCATGGGCAGTGAGGACTCTTTCCTTCGGATTTCCCTCACTAGTCCATGAAAGACATCATCAATGTAGAAGCGAAGGGCAGCAGAAGTCTCAAAAAAGGAGCAGGAGTATTCTCTGGCTAAGCTCATTCCTTCTTCAGTCGAGACCTACAAGGAAAAAAAAAAAAAAAAAAAAGGTCTATAAATATCACCTAATTCACAAAGCATGAACCAAAAGGAGGCCATAAAAGTATATCTGATCTGACTTTTTGGGTACTACTAGATTGGCACTCCTGAGGCAAATCACCAACCTTTAGTTTAACAGGAAAATATTCTGTTATTATTACATAGATAAGATTCAAATATGAAATGTTAGGATTGAATCCATATTTGAACAGAGCATACTGACAATATTCATGTGCTTGGATATATTATTTCCCTAATTCTGAAGTGCCATTTTTTCCAAGTATTTCCTCTCTTGCAGTAAACCTCTAAAGCTTGGGAGCATTAGTTCCTTTATTCTACAGACTAAAACTGATGGTCAAAAGAACTTCAGTAGAAATATGGTCCTAGAAAATGCATGTTCAGCACTAATCTAATCCTGAAGGGAATTTGACTTGAAGCTGAAAGCACATCAGATTTTATACCTTAAGATTTTTCAGTCACAAGAAATTCTGAGCATGTTTATAAGTACTCTGGTCTTGACAGACCTATAATCCTATCACTTAGATCATGCCTGAGCCATATGAAGATCCAAAATCTATTTGCTTTTCAGATCATCTTCCTTAAGTGATCTCATGTACTTACTATTCTCAGAGAACACTGAGAACAATGTATCTTTGCTTTTTGAGGAACTATAAGGGGAAGAATTTCCATGAATTTAGAAGGAATCAAGGTAGCTCTTTTTCATTTGCCTGAATTTTCATACAGGGATCTAACTCCTAAAATTTCCATACTAGCTACCTCTTAGCCCACCAGCCTGCTAATTCCCAAGGAAAGGTTCATGGCATGCTAATTACTGGTCTAATTGTGTGGTCTGATTGTGCGGTCTAGAATACAGTCTAAATGCTTACCACAAGGAGTAATGAATGCCTACCACCTACCTATATTTTGCCCTTTTGGAGACTTACAGTAACGTGTAGCAAGTCTTCAGCAAAATAAGGAATAAACCCTATTAGCTAGCTAAACTTTAGGCTAGCTTACCAGGTGATAGAATATTCTTTCTTTTCAGTATTCAAACATAAAACTAATGATGGTATGTACAGAGTATATTCAAGTTTTAGGTGAGAAAATCTATGCTTTGTTTTTATTTGTGTTTAGATAACATGATTTATTCAAGTAACTTTCCAACCATCTGGATAAAAAAAAAAAAAAAAAGTTGTTTAAGTAGTTTGAGACAGCCTTGTGAAAGGGTACATCCTAGGTTATGAAAAATTATCAGTTGCTACTGTCTACCACAGGACTAATCTAGTTTTATTTCTTATTTCTACCTTTATGCTCCCAAAGTGTCATTTATATTTATTAGGGAAATAAACCCTTATGCTTCAAGATACAAACAAACTCTCTCATACCTACCATGAGGAGAATGTCCTTTTATGATCAGCTTATAACACTACCTTATTGCATTTTGTATATTTATCTGTATATCTGGACACAGTGAGAAACAGGGTTTTGCAAGAAACAAAACACTAGTTCATTTCAGCCTGGAAGAAATCCGCACCTAGCATATTCCTATATAACACAGACCACAGAATTTCTGCTCATCACCTCTGCATCAAGTCACAGACTTTGTCATATCAGTAAGGTCATACATCTATGTTACAGATTTAATCTTAATTTAATTAAGAATATTGTAAGGCTAAGCAGGGAGGTTGTATGCCAACCTGAATAATACTCACTGACACAATGAAAGATTGTTATCGTTTTCCAACTGCTATAATTGCCAACCTTTAGCAAAAGGAGTTGGTAGCAATATGGTCCTTGTTTTTCTCTGGGCAGCTGTGTAAGCAAAATGTTTGATTCAATATGTCCATTGGGCACCACTGAGAAATTGACTGTCTGGATAGGAGACTTATCTTGGTCTATTTTGGACTTTTTAATATTTTTTTTTCTCTTGTTATGCCTTGTTTGAGCTGAAGGAGGATTTTTTTTATATTTTATTTTATTTTATTTTATTTTATTTTATTTTATTTTATTTTATTTTATTTTATTTTATTTTATTTTATTTATTTTATTTTATTTTATTTTATTTTATTTTATTTTATTTTTATTTAGAGGCACTGCAGATCTAAGCAAACCATTACACAGAGCTGTAGTTTCAGTGAACATTTTATACATTCATTACTGAAAAGGAAAAATAAAAAATAATAATTTTAGTAAAGCTTATAAATAGAAACATTCGTATGAGAAAAGCATAGTAAGGTTGTACATATAATTACGGTACAAGCACAGCACTACTCAAGTATCAGAAATTGCCTTTTCTTTTGCTCCATGATTTTCCAGTCTTTGCCCATCTAATTCCTCTTTCTTTCCATGTTTGTCTTTCTAGGATCAAAATATATGTTTTCTCCCACCTGCAAGGAAGAAACATTGTGGGGAAGACATGATATGGTCTGTAATGAAACAAGTCTACTATAAGCTGTGAGAACTGGAGAATACTCAGGAGAAATAAAATGTGCAGAAAAACTTCTTCCCATACTCTCTGTGGCTGGAGGCTTGTAACATGGCTGAATTTCACTGCATTTCTCTAAAAAGCAACAAAGGTTTGGTTTTGGACTCACAGTTGCCTGCCAAATTATGGAGACAACATTAAAGATATTAATGGAAATAGTTAATTTCAAAGCATAATATTTGTCCTAAATCTTGCCCTCAGGAACTGATTAACTACTTTGATGAAATTTTATGAAGTAATTCAGCACGAGGAAGACACCTGGCACAAATAATTTCAGGAAATTTAGTCAAAGTTGTTCAGCTTCAAGGCTGAAAACAGGCTTCTTAGAAATCTAATGCTGTCATAATTACCACTACCGCTTCCAGCACCAGTGAAAATATAGCTATACTAATTTAATTAATCTGTTTTCTGTAAAAGAAAATAAAAGAAAACAAACAAACAAACAAACAAAAAAAACCACACACTACAAATACAGACAGGTGTTTAGAGGAAAAATACACATTCATCTTTCTGTTTGTAATTTGGTCCAGAGGCTAGCCACCTATGGAATAAAAAATAAGGGATAAAGCTCTTGATGAGGTCACCTAATTCCAGGGATTTACCTTGTTCCCATCTTATTGCCAGAAGATAAACTATATCATAGAAATCCAGCCCAGATCTACACAGCTCAGGGACTTGTTGACAAATTGCAGCTTGTGCAGGTCTGTATCACCAGACGACGTGATCTGTCAGCGTGACATGATCAGACGGGTCAGGGAGTGAGGTCATTCTATTGAACATATATCTGGGAAGCAGAGCTTTATATCTCATTTTTTAGAGTAACACTCTGTGATTGAATCTGGCATTGTTTCTCAAAGTATAATTCTGGTTATATTGATTCCAGTTTAGCTTGTTCCTTTGCTGGTAAACTGAAGAAGGGAATGAAGGGGGAAGGCTGGTGTAGTGAAGATAATGAAGGATGAAGATTTCAGAACTCGCAAAAGCTTCCTGAATCCAAACTTCATTAAAAAAAATAAAAAAAAATGAATCTGGTGTGGTGTGTGGATCAGGAGTTAGAGAGGCATGACATGAAGCTCGCTGTGTAACTGAAAAGCCAGATCCCCCAGGACAAGTTGATTAAATGGGCACTGGAGCCTCACAGATGCACGTGAACATGGGAAAACAGTCTTTTCATGCTCTCCCTGAAAAGTGCATGGGTCTAAGCATCCAGTTGGGTACATGTGGTTTGAGAGGAAAGATAAAGCTGTTGTAGCAGCATTTGAACTGTGGATAGCACAGAGGACTGTAGGCTAACTGGGGAGTTTTTCATCTCTGGATGGCTCAGGGCAGTTGGAACACAGCACAGCTTCATCCAGATAAGAAGTATTCACTGGCTACAAACAGCATTTTATAGCATTAAGATTCTGTTTGTGGCTTTTGCAAACCTCCCCTGGAAAATTACATGTGAGATTAAATGCAGTGCTGACAGCCTGTGAAAGCCATGATGGATGAGCTGCCATCTTTAAGATAGCCTGTTTCCCACTAAGGTCAACTCCTGCACAACCAAAAGGAGAGCACAAAGCCACAGGAGCTGGAAGGTGGGTGGAGAGGCACCTGCAGTCACGGGCCCCCATATGCAGAACATAAAAATATCTGGATCTGAGGAGGAAAGAGCCAAAACTAAACAGATCAATAGTCTACCTCTGCCCTTGGGCTGTCATTAGCTGGAAAATTTACCTCTGAATCAGCCTGTTTTGTGTTTAGCTCTTTCTCTCCTTTGGTCAACACAGCAAAGAAGCATCTCAAGGTACATTCTTTGACCAAGATTGTATTATTAGCAGAATCAACAGTATCAGCTTGAGTGAGCCAGTGGTGGTCTTCATGCAGGTAAGCAATGTGTTTCCACTTGAGCATCTCATCCCTGAAACAGCATCTTCTGCTTGAGATGGCTTTTACAGATTCCCTCTGTGACTGGCAGCTCCTGGTTGCCATGGAGAGCTCTGCAGGTGAAATGCCAAGGGCTGCAAGGATTCTCCTAAATTTTCATTAGGCTTCCACCCTGGCAGCCCTCATCAACTTTGCAATGGGAAACAGAGTGGTAATTATAGACCAAAAAACTTTGTTCTGAGAGTGCTTTTTCCTGGAGACAGGCAGTCTTGATCACTAATCAGAGACAGAAGAGGACACATGTTGGTGAATATGGTGTTCATCTAAATCCCACTGAGGCTAATAGAAAGAACTCCAGTGGTTTTTGATCAAGCATGGACAATATTTTTGACAGAAAATTACTTATGTGAGTGATAAACAAAAGGTAACAGGTTAGAAACACAGGTAGGGAAGCAGCATCCTGAGCAAACTTGTTTGTACCATAGCAAGTTAAGAGGGAGGTAAGAAGGCAGGCGTGCTCTGAATGATGTCTAGGAAAGATCAGTGTTATCTCTGGGTGTCTCAGCCGTATGGGGATTTCTCTATTTCCCAACACACCCTGTTCCAAACACCAAGCAACCACATGGCATGT